GTGCTGCTATAATTGCTATACATTCTAATGGTGCCATCTTCTACATAGAGAAGCTTTAGAATGAAACCTCGAATAAAAAATTGAATTCAAGTGATTATGCTGTAACATGGGACTGATTTTACCCAGTTATAGTCAGTTTTACTTTGACAAATCAATATATTTTCATCAATAACTGCCACAAAATCTTACTCTTTTAGAAGAAGATTTTAAAGCCTTTATTTAAAAAACTAGAGCTACCGGGAAATGCAGGGAGAGAGAAGATATGAACATAGAGTCAAAATTTCTAATACTTTATGTTATTTTTTAAATGGACATGATAATAAAACAATATTGCACTCTGGTGCTTTTATCTTTGTCTTGTGGTTCAGTTGTGACAGGCATGCGGGCGGCGTAACGTTGCTCTCTCATTCCGTCTGTTTAAATTTTAACATTGTGCTTCCTGTAAGCATCAACAAAGGCATCTTACGTTACTGCCTGGAGATCGGCCAAAACACACGCTGACATAAGAGAGCATGTCGGAAAATACCTAATTAACATAATGCAATCCATTATGCAAATACTGGGGGGTTTCTAGGATCTACTCAATCTTTAAAGAGGACCACTGCACTCCTGATAAACTCCCAATAAAACACACACACCAGATGACCAACTGAGTTGTGGTGGCCACACCTATTGATAGTTACAGCTCAGGTTAAATAATATTCTTTGATGCAAACACCATCGGGCCCTCGCAGCAATCCAATCCTAAATTTAAAACAACTTTCCAACAACAATCCATTGTATAATTGCAGTTTACTACTTTACTACTTTTTGAAAAGTTTTATAGGATCGCAAGTATCCTAACTCAAAACTAAATCAAAACAAACACTAAACATTTCTTATAATAATAGATTCCCATTGCCTATTATTTGACATTTTTTTAATGTTGGTGGCAGTATTGATATCTGAGCTATGATACTGATACAAAAAAGGAAAACCATTCTGATTCATTGATCAGTCAAACTATGAATAAATACAAATAAAATGCAGCACAAGTATAATAAAAACATAATTTAAATCATATAATTCTTTTTAAAAAGAAATATAGTTTCAAGAAGATTAAGAATTTGTGCATTAACTCTCAATTTGCTGTATTTTCGATGCCCGGCACTAATGATAACACAAAAAACTGGTCCATAGAGTATCCCCTTTAATTTTGCATTAATTTCATGCATAGCCTCCATTCTGCACTGAGGGTTTACAGTGATAGTGTACCTGAGTAATTAAATAGGCGTAATATTGTAATCTTCTGACCACACGCTGTACAGTAAGGACTCAACATCTGATAAAGAGGTAAATAATATGACTTACCGCAGTCTTGTTTCTAAAGAATGAAGGGCAAGTTGGATCACAACACATCTTTGATCCACCACTTATCCAAATAAATATTCACAAGCCCAATTAGTCCTAAACAACTTCACTTTCAAACTAATCCTTTATTCATGTGAACAAACAGATTGCTGTCGCCGGGGCAGGACTTTGAAGGCCAGAACGAGCTGTGAGGCTATTAGTTTCAGAAATGCAGCATTCAGTGAGCAAATGGCACAATAATTAAAGTCCAGCATCACAAAACCAGCTGTTTCAGTGATTTTGATTTTTTTTATAGAATATCTTTAAGCAGAGTAGGTCATCCGCATTTCAAAATAAAAAATAATAATTAATAGGACTACAATATTTTAGCATTCAGCTTTTAAATATGTAGATGTCAGTTCTTACCTTTGAGTCCATGTTGCAGCTCTTTGTGCTCTGCTGAGGTTCTCTATTGCTCTGTATGAGTCTGACCGAGCAGCTGATGTGGGGACAGAGGGATGTGTAGTATATTCTACCTGTATTTATGACCGTCCCATAATGCAGCAGCCTCAGCACGTCCTCAATGTCCTACTTTTCTCTAGCTTTTATTTTCAGGTTGGCCTTATTCACTCGCAAGGGTGCAGAAGACTGAGAGCCTCCAACAGTCACAGACAAACCTCTTATTTGAGAAGATGTCCTTCTGTGGCTGTAAATACTAATAAAAGATATTTAACTGTTCAAGTTTTATAAATAGGATTTTTTGTGGTACGTGCTATAGTCAACTTGGTCTCCAGAGCATCACACTGCTGGTAATTAGTTTTGAATAGACCATTTCTCTTATAATACGTCTATACTTTCACTTGTAATGGAGTATTTTTACATTGTTGTATTGGTACTTTAACCAAGGTTAAGGATCTTCAATCTCTGTGTCTCGGGGACTGTACCAGTGTTTCTGAATGCAACTAATTTACTAGAAATCTAACTTTACTGATGACCAATTTCCTAAACATAGCATAGTAAGTATGTTTTCTATGTTTTCCATAGTTTTCAGTTCATTTGAGTTTGATGTAAACAGAAACTTGTTTGAGATACAGAAGATAATCCAGAGCAGCAGCAGCCCTGAACTGCCTACTGAAGTCAAAGCCTCATAAAGTCTGAGTCTGGTGTTCTTGTGCTACAGGAGCTAATACTGCTGTTTTGATAGAATACCAGGTCTTAAATTCATTTCTTCCTCTCATTGGGCTTCTGAGAAGAGATAAAATAGTCTTTGTAAAGCGTAATTACCACTATGATTGTTACTCAAGAAGTGCTACCTTTGACAACAGCAGGCTTTACAAGAGAGAGCCCTCTGATTATTTGACCAACTATCACCTACAATACCAGAGGGATGAGAGCACAACCTGCTGTCAGACGCAGGGTATAACAGCTAGTTAGCTACTGAACCATAGTACGGTAGTTGTAAGCTGCACCTCATGTCACCCTCAGCTTGGTGAATCAAATCAAATGCAAATATCTGCTCACTTTACTCCCTCTATCAACATTATTCCTCACTAATGTATCATCTTTCTGTGGTCACAGTCTCTGAGACACACACCTTCTGTGTGTTTGCGTTACGTTTTGGTGATTAATTAATTAGGCTTAAGCTTTAGCTTCCTGTTGTACTTATTGTAAGTCCCACTAGATAAGAACATAAACCAGAGCCTTGATTAAGGGGATGAGGAGAGATTAATACAGTTTGATTTATCTCTACTGGTTAGATTTTTGTAATTTAATTACCAACAATAACAATAAAGAAAATATTAAAAAACTGGCTAGGTGGTTTGTTGTTTACTTTTCACACAGTTGACCGAGATTTCATCTTGTTTTTAATTGTTAAACCAAGTCATACAGCTAAAATATATAAAATGTTAATTCACAATTTTCAATCTTATCAATCCTACTTATTATCCTGATTAATGTTTAAATAAATATGGCTGACCAGTTTCTGTCAGAAGCTAACCTATAAACCTTCTGTCCAGTCACTCCTGAAGTAACACTGTGTTGTTTCCTTGTGTAACTCCTCCCCTTTGTTCTCCTGAGGGATTGTTCTCTGATTGGGTGTCACATTGAAACCAGAAGTGCACCAGCAGGTTTGACTAAAAGCACTGGTGTATTGTGTGTGGAAAGTCACAGCAATCTCAACACAAAAACATTGGCATGGATAACTGGAGGCAACCAACAAAGATTTCCTACAAGCGGTGGAGAAATCCTGAACTGAGGTAAAGCTACTAAATTATTTGATTATTTGATTTTTTTATTATTGTATTATTGTACTTCCTTATATGTCTGGGAGCACACTGCCAGCGTTGCCCTGCCCTGTTGTTTACATACCACAGTGTGGCCACAGTCGTGTATCCATACTGATATATTTGTATTAAATGTAACCTTTTGTGCTTCATAATAAAGTTCTCCTTTTGGTGTGCTAACATTCAGGGATGAGGGAAATTTTGTGGGTCAGAGCGATGAAGACCAGGGCACAGACAATGAGATCTGCACTATAGCCTCACCAGGAGTCGACTCAGGGGGACTACAGCCTGCATCCACATCTGGATTTAATAAAACTGAAGGTTTGTAGAATACTATTAGTTGTAGTCTATACACATTTTGATCTTGTATGTCTTGTGTGCTACGTTTAGGCATGAAACATACACATCATTGAGATGGCCTTTCAATATAAATTTAGTATTTGTGCAATTTTAGTCAATCTGTTCTGACTGCTTGTTTTTGTAAGGAAAATGTAGGAGAGTAGGTCAGCTGATCCACCAGTTAAGTACTGCATTAATTCTTCTACCTTTGTCAGTACAAAAATATTAGGAACAAAATATACTTGAAGCATTTAAACTAAAAGTTCTTATTATGCAGCAGAATGGCCCCTGTCAGGGTTTCATTATTATATAGTTGGATTATTATTGTTGGTGCATTAACATGTGAGCAGTACTTTAATGTTGTAGTTGGTCAGGGTGGAGATCATTTGAACTGCTTTATATACTATTTGGTAGTAAAATATAGTATAAAGTAACATAAAATGGGAATAGTGTGTGTCTTTTTATTCTTTGAAAACTTTAAAAATCAATAAAATATATTTACATTTACACATTTCTTTACAGGGGACAGTGAACTTACAGTGAATGTTTTGTCCCTTTTTACAGAAACCTTTACAGTAGACGACGCACTGGAGGCCATCGGCTTTGGAAAGTTCCAGTGGAAGATCTGTCTCCTCACCGGACTCTCATGGGTAAGGATCCTAAAACATACAGAAAGGTCTTCATTCTAATTTCAAGACACTATATGTGTTTCATGTAGCGCTCTGCCTCTCTGAGAGCAGATAGGAGATGCCATGGAGATGATGATCCTCAGTATCTTGGGCCCCCAGCTGCACTGTGAGTGGAGGCTGCCCAGCTATAAATTGGCCATCTTAACATCGGTAAGGTATTCTCAGGACTGTATTATTCTACAGCTTGTTGATTTTGAAATGTGTCAAAGTGTTTACTCTTTTTTTTTGCTTCAGGTGGTGTTTGTCGGGATGGGGATTAGCTCACCTGTATGGGGGAATATATCCGACAAGTACGGCAGAAGAGTAGTGAGTCTCATATGTGGGTTTTTCATATATGATTTAGGGATGTTTGTACAAATATTTGTACATTATTTGATGTTTAACTCGTGTTTTCTGTAAATGTCTGTGTGGTAAACAGGGTCTGACGATTTGTATGTGCTGGACTCTGTACTACGGCCTGTTGAGTGCCTTCGCTCCGGTGTACGGCTGGCTCTTGGTCCTGCGGGGCCTTGTAGGTTTTGGCATCGGAGGAGCTCCTCAGTCGTAAGTTTAGTGTTTCCTCTGCATGCATTAACATGAAGTTTGAACTGAGTGAACCGACACATTTTAGCCATGAAGTGATTTGCAGCATACATTCACTCTCTTTTAAGGGTGACACTTTACTCAGAAGTCCTCCCAGTGAAAGCAAGAGGCACCTGCATCATGCTGATTGCGGTACTATGGTGCTTTTTTAATTAATCATGACTTTAACTGTGTTCCAGTGTTGAATATTTGATCTGATTAATTCTACTGTTTATTGATTGCCTCCTGTTTGTTGGCATCAGGCTTTCTGGGCATTTGGTGCTGTGTTCGAGGTCTTGCTGGCATTGTGGGTAATGCCCACTCTCGGCTGGAGGTGGCTTATCGGCCTGTCCACTATACCAATGGCAATCTTTGTTTGCTTCTGCTTTGTAAGTATGTTGGTTATTGATAGAGAGGCATTAAATAAAAACCAGATGGGGTCAAACTCTCAACTGAACTGTCTGTGTTCCACAGTGGCTGCCTGAAAGTCCTCGCTTTGATGTGCTGACGGGAAAAACAGACAAAGCTTTGGTAACTTTAACGCGTATCGCCAAAGAGAATGGCAAGGCCATGCCTCAAGGGAAGTTGACCATCTATCAGAAGGTGAGGGTACAGAGTGATGGGTCAGAAAAAGGAGATGTGTGTCAAATATTAATGAATGTGCCTTCTATTTTTGTTGTTTAAATTTCACAGAATGAACGCGGGTGCATCAAAGATCTCTTCGCTCCTCAGTATTGGAGAACAACTCTTCTTCTGTGGTTTATATGGTTAGCTTGAGTAACACATTTTTTACTTTGTCCTTTCTATCAACTTTCCTTAATTAGATATTTTGATCTAAGGTAATTATATAATCAAGGCTGGATTAGCAACCGGGCAAAACTGGCAACTGCTTGGGAAACCTCCAGGTTCACTCTGTGTCAGTTGGTTTGTGGTCATTTGGCTAAATCTGTTTTGGGAGTATGCAATTAAATATAACATGCACTGAACTGATATGAGCCATGTGTTAAAATATACTTTTTGTTTTGATTTTTAGTGGATATTGGGCTTAAATTGTATATATTCTTAAGTAAATCTGTCAGGTCAAATGACCTTAAATTCATTGTAGCAAACGTTGGGCCAGGTACTATTATGGAAGAAGCAGCTGTTATTTAGGGCACCATGAAGAGTAATGCTGAGATTGGCTTATGTATCTATTTCATGCTTTATTTTCAACTACTTGTCCACAACTTACCTTGTTGAACATTGTATTGTTATTTTATTCAAAGGTTTGCATATGCCTTCTCGTATTACGGGATAGTCCTGTTGACAACTGAGCTGTTCCAAGCTGGAGATTCTTGTGGGGGTAAGTAACAACAACTTCATGTGGATCAGGTTTTAACATTTGTCATATTGTATCTTAAATTGAATCACCAAAACCAAACTGTCCTTCTTTATAGCGACCCAAGGGGCCAAGATTGAGCCAAACTGTAGTCTGGAATGCAAATATTTGACATCAGCTGACTACAGAGACCTTTTATGGACGACCTTGGCTGAATTCCCAGGTAAAATTGCTCCTTTTAGCTCTTATTAGCATTTTCTCATAGTTGTGGTGTGTAATTGAAGCTGTAAGGTGAAGATCTTCATGATGCTAGTGCCAAGAACAGTGTTAATCCCATATATAGGCCGTTCTTCTCTTCGTTGTCCATCCTGTCTATATTTATAAAGTTACCAAGGAACCATAAGCTCAGGTTAAACTTCACATTTCTAATGCCATGACATTTGGTGCACATATAAAGCTAGATTTTTTTTATTTAAAAGGTATATTTACATACTTTCTTAAACAGGTTTGAAGTCATTTAGGCTTGTTGATATAAACTCACCTTTGTCACCACCCAGGTCTGCAGTAGTAGAGTGAGATACAGCAATGTGTTGTTTAAGGCAGTGGTTTAGGCTGTATAAGTGTAATTTATTCTCACTATGTCTTTTCAGCTTTTGGCTGCAGTATTTGAAATGTTTGCTGTTTGCTTTTCATGTTGGTTTCAGGACTTTTAGTTATCCTTCTGGCAGTTGATTATATTGGCAGGAAGAAGAGCATGGCACTGTGTTTCTTCATGTTTTCTTTGTGCATCCTGCCCTTATATGCTTGTATTGGGAGGTAAGTTTTATTTATTTTTGTCACATTGGAACAGCAGCAACACATTAAAACATCAGGGCTGATCTGTGTCTTTCTTTCTTTCTGTTCATACAGGACTGCTCTTACAATCTTCATATTTATTGCTAGAGCTTTCATCTCGGGAGGATACCAAGTTGCTTTTGTTTACACACCAGAGGTAGGTCTACATGCCATTTTAAGATTAACCATACTTGTTTTTGGATCATTTGGACTGGACAAAATGCTCTCTCCTCTCTCCCATTAGGTGTTCCCTACAGAAAACCGAGCCTTAGCAATGGGGACTTGCAGTGCGATGGCCAGGGTGGGTGCCCTGATTACACCCTTTGTGGCACAGGTATGCAGTAACAGCTCTGTTGGTACTTTCCAAAGAAGCTCTTTCAAAATGAGCTGCAGCACCAGTCTGATGTGAGACCCCTTCACATTAGGCTCTATGTTTCCTCACCGGCTCCTCGGTTTTTGTGTTTTGGTTCTAGGTGTTGCTCAGGACATCAGTGTATTTGACTTTGTCACTGTACTGTGGCTGTTGTCTGCTGGCCGGCGTTGCATCCTTGATCCTGCCCATTGAGACGATGGGCAGGGGTCTGCAGGAGTCCAATCTTGACTAGGAGGCCGGAGGGCAGATGAGCAGCAGAACCAGCCATTCAAATAGTACACACACAGGGTAGATCAGCCAGGAGGGGGAATGAAAAAAACTGGAAAATAAAGGATATTTTGTCGACTCCCATGCTGCTGTAGACGCCACAGTTGCCTGGTTTAACTGTGGCTTGAATCCTCTGAGCGATGATGGGTGAAGAACAACAGGGGACAATCTCATTACAGGCTGGGAGTGATAATTAAGGGAAGGCCTACTTCCCATGTCTAATGAGAGCGGAAGCACACTTGTGCTTGGACCAGTTTGTTTACCTCTCTTCCATCTAGGCCATTAGAAGCAACAGAGGGACATTTTGGAAAATGATGATCCACTATGTTTCACAAGAGACTGTGACGTTTGTTTTGATACATTCTGAATAAAAATAATTTCTTTTGTATTTATTTATATTTGAAGCCATTTGCCTATTGCGAATTAAAGTTATTTAATGTGCTTTAAACTTTGCTTTGTTTCGTCAGTGAATCTCAGTATTGTATAATATATAATTATTGATTGATTATTCAATTAGTTGATAAGTAAAAAATAATCATTAATTGATGCCCTCCTCAACATTATGTCAACCTCGCTGCGTTTCATAACACGAGCAGATTATATTATTTCATCAACATTTGTATTTGGGAGTTCCTAGTCTGGCCAGTCACCTTGACAACATTGGCCCAATGACAGCGCGCACGCGAACTAGGCCAGCCAATCACAGGCATCCGGCAAAGCTGCATGTCATTTCTGCCCCACTCGCAACCTGCACCGTGTTTTGTTTGTCTGTCTGCGCACCGGTGATGAAATCTCGGGGTCTGCTGCTGGCTCGGTACAAACGGAGGAAATCTGTCAAGACTTCCCGCTCATGAGGACTCCGGTAACCGCAGAGGACGCACGGAGCAGGACCGAAAGGGAGCAGCGCCGGGGCTCTGGAGTCAGGTGCTGCTGGATGAGAGTCTGACTAGGCATTTTCTCCCCGGTGACAGAGACAGTATCTCAGCGGCGCATCTTCCCACATCCTCCTCCCCTCCCTTCTCTCCTCCTCTGCTGCCCTCCAAGGCTGCAGCCCACCGACCATGGCCCTGGTGACTCTGCAGCGCTCTCCCACCCCCAGTGCAGCATCCTCGGCCAGCACGACCAACAGCAGTGCGGGGGAGGTAGGTGGAAAAGCCGGGGTTCGGTCTTTGTGTACGCGGGAATGAGGAAACGCCGTGAATGCGCCTGCAGGAGCCCGTATCAATACAGGCTGTTTAATATCTCTGCAGGAAGGACTAACCTTCATACCTCTCATTGGTGTGTGTGTGTGTGTGTGTGTGTGTTATAAACTTGATATATTGTTGCATTGTTACCAGCAGAGAGTTGTTTGTTGCTGCTGTGGCAGCGGATTTGTAAACAAAATCCTGCAGAGGGGGAGGGGGAGGCTGCTGGGTTTAGCTGTCAGAACAAAGTGCTCATTTTGCTGCTGCACAAACATTTGCTGCGTTGCGCTCAGGTTGTTCTTCCTCCTTGTTATTGGGCTTTTTTATTTTGCAGTAATGCAGCCTCAAAGTTAGGGGGGAGGAGACTTTAAAGGGGAATCGCATCGATTTTTAGATTTATGCTCAGTGTGTGTGCCCCAGGACAGTTCAGTGAGGTGTTCACGAACTTGAGGGGGGGACAAAAACACTGATTGTGAGATGTTGTCACTAAGCTCCTTGACAGGATTTAAACCCCATTTGTATGCAAGACCTCACACTTAAATCTTATCAGTCTGTATTCGGTATTTCACATTAAAAGAGTTATTTTCTAGCTTTAGAAAACTGCAGCCAGGTTCAACTCCTGACAATGAGAAGAAACACTGGCTTTGGAGTTTGAGGCTGTGATTGCAGTCAGCATTTAAATACAGCGCAGTGCCAGATTTGACATCCCAGTGAAATCATAACGTCAGGGTTAGTGCTCCAGTTTCTAGGTTTAGGAAAGTAGATTACGTGCTCTGAAGTAGGCTGTCTGGAAAAAAAACAAAACATAAGTAGTGACATATTTCCTCTGATGAGACGTTTTTAATATCACTTCCTGCATCACAGCTCACTATTCTGCAAGAGTCAGCCAGCAGGAGGAGAAAAGTGTATGGGTGTGATGTCTGAATGTGTTTTTGCTGAACTTAGGTGTCCGAACGATTCAACTGTCAGCTAGGACATTCGCAGCAGATGAGATCGTAACACTGACCAGGGAGGACCAGCAGTTGGCGCTGACACCCTTTAGTCCAATTGCATGGTCCTCAATACCCATTGGCACTACTGTACACGTCTTAAAGATTCAACTAAGCATAGACATATCAAGGTCCAGTTAGTCCCTGAATGTATCAGACTATACAGACACAAATTGCCATAGTGATGATGCATCGTGCTTATAATGAACGTCGGCCTCCAGATGATCCAAACAACAGTTCAATGTGCATGGTGCAGTCGCCTCTGTTCACTAATCCAGTCTCAGCTCTGAGCTGAAACTACAGATATTAGGTTCATTAAGATGTGTGTTATTGTTATTATTATTTTATTTTATTTTATTTCCTCAACATTTATTTTAACGCTAAAGGAACATCTATTCACTGCCTTGTTTCTGTCTTTCAGGATTTTGGAAGTGACGATGAGCGGAAAAATAATCAGAGGTAAGATCTTTTGTCTTTTAAAAAAGTTTGTGTATTTGATGTTTTGTATTTCTGACTGTGAGATGTGTTTTTATCCTTTTTTTGTCCCGGCCTTCTGTTTCCGGTATGAGCCGACTCAGATGAGCAGACAGCAATGTCTCAAGCTGTTTGAGCCTCTGAAACAGTTGATTTTCTAAGTGAACTGTTTAGGTTGTAGCAGTTAAAGCAGATTCATATTTACATATTAATCTGGTGTTTAATTATGTATAAAACTCTTTTGAGAGTGAGTGTTTTTAAAAATGTTATGCAAAATAAGATTTCATTGGATAGGGAAACTGGAAGTAAAGTTGACTTGAAAAGGACGGCATCATTAAATACAGTAGTTTTCATTTTCACTTCTAGATTAGAGGCGTCTGCTGATTATATTTATTATTTGATCGTGTCTCTGCCAAATGCTTGTTGCACAATTGATTCTATAATAGATGGAATGTCTGGCCAGGACAGTATACAGTGAATTAGACGGTCAAAGCAGCATGCTTCTTTGATTATCAAAAACTATTTTGGCAGGTGATGTGCTGCTCGTCTTGTCCACCGTCCTGACTATTTGGTGATGTGAGTGAATCTGGCTCTCTTACAGGACCGGTTAGGCAGTTTATTTTCTCTAATGGCCCGTAGTTTCTCACTGTTGTCAAGGAGAACAAGCGTTTAAATGTTTCCTCTACTCAGTTATGTAACAGAGAGTACATAAACTGTTGTTCCTGCTCGGTCACAAAGCTTGTCTTTAATTAACCAGACGTCACAAAAAGTCATGATTTGTGTCAGCAAAGCTTTGGCACAGACTCTGTCTTTGTGCTCACTGTGTGTGTGTGGGGGGGGTCATTCACAGTTGAAACAGTAATGTCATGCCTTGTCTGGAGTGTCTGAATGAGTAACATGTTTCTGTGGCTCAGTAATTCATCATCAGCGTGGAGTCTTAATTTAGGATTCTGCATGTCAGACTTGAGATTGACGCCAAGTAACATTTCCACCGCCTCCCAGCGCTTGCATGAATGATGGCATTGTGGCAGAGCGTTGCATAGGGAGAGCTGATTGCCGCTGTGAAGAGGAGATAGGGAGCCGAAAGTGAGAGGACAGTGCAGCACGGGCGAGGAGACTAGGCTGAGATGGGGGGGGGGGGGAGCTGCTGGGAAAGAGAGGAAGGGACTCCCCCAGCCAGACCGGGACCACAACGAGAAAAGGTGAAACACGCTGCTCCGAGAGGCTGCCAGTCCCCTGATCGTGGACGGGAATACGGCAGGTGTAGAAAGATGGATGGAAAAGATGTTAATGAGAGGAGAGAGGAAACTGGAGTTTTCCTAAGAGACTGGTAGAAATAGTAAACTTCTCGCAGGATGCGTCATGGTTTTGTGAAACCTTCACATAAAGCCATGTCACCGTGCGCCTCACTTGTGGAGGAAGCTGCTGTGACTCGGAGGGAGACTGTCGCATGTAAGTTCTCAAAAAAAAAAAGCACAGACAAAAAGTTTAATCCATAGACTGATGTAGAATGACCAGTTTTTAGAGCACGAAACTTACATTTTTTGGGACAGCCAGACACCATTTTAAAGCTTTAATTCTGAGAGCTTCGACTACCAGCAGGTCACTCTTTAAGCTTTAAAGAGTAATGATTGTTATTTATTCAGTCATCACTGTTCCTCAATAAGAAAAATACTGATTGAGCTTGTCAAGACTTTGAAGTTTTTATTTTAACAAACCTTTCTATAGCGTAAAAAGAGTTTAATATTTCACCTCAAGCATCGTCTCCAACATAGGTATTCCTACTTATAATGTTGAAAAGGAATAAATACCACGCCAGCAGTGGAGCTGAAACAAAAGGCCTTGTGATCGTCCCACTCAGTCATACAGGCTTTTGGTGTGTGTGTTGTGTGTGTGTGGTGCTGTGTGTGTGTGTTGGAAGAGAGTGCGGTTAAAACAAAGCCGCACTCTGTTCTGTGTGAGAAAAGACGCTAAAGCTCTTCCCTCCCTGCTCGCTGCAGCCCTTCGCAACAAAGTCATGACCCGAAGTGCTGCGTCCAACGGCGGTCGGACAGGAGAGGAAGTTTTAAAGCCCGAGCACATATGGACAGTCGTGGTTGTACGCTCGATTCACCACAGGTCAGCCAACCAATCAAGAAAAGAGTCTGTAAATCATGCTGTAAAAACCACAGGGCTGTAAAAGTCACTGCATCAGGACCTCTGCTGACTTTAGTCTCCTGATGACCTCCTGTCCTGCTCATGAAGCCAATGAGGACTTAATAAGATGCAGACTACACCTGGCCTACTGTACGCTACGTATCAGCCATTTCGTGTCCCTGTCTCAACTCTGTTCTCATAATAATGATTTTAATAGCAAGATTGTCAACTCAAGTTCGAGGTTCAGGGTTTAATGTATTTATCATTTTTGTACACAGGGTTGTAAAATGAAATTTAGGTTGTAGGCTTTATACTACTCACAAAAACAAAAGAAAAACCGTTTTACAGTGGAGTGTGGAGGATGAATTGAGTCTCACAGCCTGAGGTAAGAAGCTGCTACTGTAGTCTGGTGGTACAGCGGTAAATACTTCTGTATCTCTTGCCAGACAGCAGCAGGGTGAACAAGCTGTGGCTGGGATGGGTATTGACTTTTAGTACCTTTTGGGCTCTGCACAGGCACCTCACTGATATCACTGATGCTGGGTAGATGGGAATCGGTCTTCTTCTGAGCAGTTTTAAAGGTCCAGTGTGTAACATTTAGGAGGATTTATTAGCAGTGGAATATAATATTCATAGGTTTTTTTTTTATTAGCGTATAATAAGAATTGTTGTGATCTTGTTACCCTAGAATGGGATGTTTTTATCTACAGAGGGAGCAGGTCCCCTCCCATGGAGGCCGTCATGTTTAACCACCATGTTTCTACAGTAGCCCAGAACGGACAAACCCAACACGAGTTTCACGACCACCGTAGTTTCTTCTACAGGCTTGGTTGAGCCAGGGGGTTTCAATTGGTTGCAATCTGCCACTACACCACTAGATGCCACTAAATCCTACACACTGGTCGTTTAATTAGTCGCTGCCTCCTGTCCTGGGCCAGTTTGTGATGTTTCCAGTCAGGATGCTCTCTATTGCTCCTCTGTGAAAGTTAACAAGAACTTGGCACAGGTTATTTACTTTCTTAAGTTAGTTTCTAAACTTTCTTAACCAGGGTGGAGAAGTGTGATGACCACAACAGGTTCTCTGTGATTCCCAGAAACTGTTCACCTGCTCCACCTCAGCTTCACTGATGTAGAGACGGACGTGTGTCAGTAGTTTTGCTGCTTTTCTTTGTCTTATGTGATAGTAAATTGAACATGTTTGGCATTTTTCACTAGTTTCAGACAATATATAAACCCAACAATAAGTCAATTAATCAAGAAAATGATTGGCAGATTTATCCAAACCTTTTTTTTATTTATAAGGTCACATACCAATAATGATTCAGTTGTTGCTCTGTTCAACACTTATAACACCAAAGGATGTGTTAAACAAGTATCCACTTGACATTCAGTGAAAAGGCATAGGCATAGTACAACAAAATGAACTCTTTAAGGGGGAAAAGGGGCTTAAATAATCCGACAATATCCACCTAACCCACCCAAAACTTCCTGTGTGTGCTTTACTCATACTGTCAGGATAATTACATTACACTATTTTGTTTGAAATAGTGGTGTCTGTGTAGCATTTTGACTTGAATTGATCAGGCCAAAATGATCAAGTGTCCAGCCTTGTTTGAGCATGTGTCTTTCATCTTCCCGGCAAACATAAGATGGGTTGTAAAGATATGGAAGAGGTCGGCTGTGTAAGGCACATATGGATGAGTAAAATAATGTGTGAGAGAGCTGTTTAAGGCTCATACATATGGTAAAACTAAACGGTTGTGATCAGGAATATGAGGTCGAGACAAAACATTCTCCTTTTTTCACTTGTCTTTTATTCTAAGTTTCGAATGAAGAATAAGGCAGAATGCAGTTACAGTACTACACTGCACTGTAAAAAGACTTTAGTTCTTTGCTGGCATTTGTTAACCCTGAATTTTTTTTCCACTTCTGCTCTTTTCAGCCTCAGTGAGAGCTTCTTCATGGTCAAAGGAGCCGCCCTCTTCCTCCAGCAGGGTGGCAGTGCACAAGGACCAAAGACCCCGACCCACCACAAACATGCAGGTAGGAACACACACTCACACACACAGACATAAGAAGCTTTGTTTCTTGTTCCTTTTTTCCCCATATTCTCTGCACAAATAAGCTCCAGACAAAAGGAAGTATTGTATTTGCTGAGGTGGCTTTTCTCTCTGTGGGTTTGTCTGTGTTTATTCTAAACTGTGTTGGGAACTGTTACCTAGCTGGGTCTGACCTGAATCAACCTGCAGCTGAACATGAGGGACGCTCACAAAATTAAATCACCAAACTGTACAGTTTAAGTAAATTAAACAGTCAATTGACAGAAAATTAATTAGCAACTAGTTTCAGTCATTTTTCATGAGAAATATTTCATGGTTTCGGCTTCACAGATGTGAGGATTTGCTGTTGTTCCTATTTAATTATTTTCATAATTGAATTTATTTTAATAAATTAGAATTTGGTACAATTGGTTGGAGGAAAAAATAAAAAAAATACCCTATACAGAATAGTTTAAACTGAGCTCCACCTGAAGAAACTACAACAGTAAAATCCTGCTTTTACATTAATGCATTAGTAATAATAATCTACTGATATAATACAGTATAACAGTCACAGGGGACATTGGGTACTTTAAATTTTAGTACTTTAAAAACATTTTCCTGGTTACACTTACATACTTCAGTAACATTTCAATGCAGGACTTTGGCTCCAACAGATTTAGTGTTATTACACAATCATCGTGGTGCTGCTGCTGATGTTCGTCTGCACATCAAAGTGGCGTTAAAATGTGGCCTAATCTAAAAATAAAAATGTTCTGTAAGTCTTTTGATGTCCATCAGTGGGTTTCTATTATAGACGGCCGCTGTTTACAAGTTTCTAATCTGACGTCCATGTTGAGTCTGGAGTCATTTGAGGAGAAATGTGGGACCAGACAGAAGTCAGTTTGCACATGACTCATGTGTTACTTGCTAACATTTTAGCTTAGCACAGCTGGAAGGCTGCAGGGTTTAGATTTGTCTTCATTGAGAGAAATCTGCAAAGATATTTCCTCCCAGTGGAAAGGAGCAATGAATGAACAATAGAACAAGCTGAATGATCAGTTTGTAGTTGACCTTTAGTTTTTTTTGTAAGAAATTCCAGAAAGATTCTCTGTATTGAAGCCTGTCTGTGATTCAAGTGTGCATTATTTTCTCTGTATTGTTAAGTCTGAACTTGGAAGCAATATTATCAGCCTATTAAAGGCGGTTTTAGTTACTTACTGCAATGGCCATTAAAGGACCAGTGTGTAGGATTTAGTGGTATCTAGCGGTAAAGTTGCAGACCACTCGTGTCTGTATTTGACAACCTCGGGATGAGATCAGGCTGTAAAGTGTGTAGGAGAAACAATGGGGACTGTGTTCCCTCTGTAGATAAAAACTTCTCATTCTAAGGTAACGAAAACACAAAGACTCCTATATTCAGGTGATTATTTATTTGTATTATTTATTATTGATTATTAATGAAAACACACCTGTGAATATTATATTATATATTTATGGATCCTCCTAAACGTTACACACTGGACATTTAAAGTTATGGTGGCAAGAAAATGATTTTCTCTGTCTGATCTTTGTGAGCTGAACAAAATGTCGACGTCCAGTTTAGACATCCAGACTTTGTTGATGAAGTCTCAATGCATGTTTGACTTTCAGGTGATTTACCTCAACACCTGCAGGTCATGTTTAAGATCCTCCGGTCTGAAGATCGCATTAAGCTGGTCAGTATAATGCTTATACATACTTTTTTTCCTTTTAAATATTTGGATAGTAGGTTTTATGTATTGCTTCTGTTAGTGTTAAGGCCTTAATTTCATTCAATATATAAAACATTACAGCACAAGTATTGATTCTTTCTCTCATTTTCATAGTGCTGTTGAGCTCTGGTTTGTAGGTTATCATGCAGTCACATGTTTTTGTAGAAACAGACAATAATTGCATGACAACACCAGGAAATACTGGATATTTTTCTCCTAAATGCATGTATCTTGCTTCATGTTGTACAGGCGGTACGGTTAGAGAGCGGATGGTCAGAACGGGTGCGCTATATGATCGTTATCTACACCAACGGCCATCAAGATACAGAGGAAAATATTGTCCTAGGAATGGACTTCACAGACAAGGACTGGTAATTAATTTCTCTGAAGTCTTACATTTAGTGCAGTTTAATCTGATTATTAGATTTGTTAAAATCTTATTCCTAAATGTTTGTGATCTACAGTAAAGATTGCTCTATTGGGATGGTGCTACCACTGTGGAGTGATACCAACATACATTTAGACGGAGATGGGTAAGTTTCAGTTTGTCCTTTAATAAAAATTCCTACTTAAATCAGCTGGCTGAATATAAGACACACATGTACGTGTAAGAAAGCTTTCTAGTGTATACTTCCTGCTCAGGCCTCCAGCTGTGTGTTTTGGTTGTTCTCTGCCTTTTGGGTTTTACTGCCCACCAGTGGCAGAGACATGAATTACATGCATTTTTGCTCTGTGTGTGAGAGCCGTTCTTGCTGACCTGTTAACATTGTCTCTGTCTCTGTATGCTGGAGGAATGTTCCACTGGTCGGTGTCCCGAATAGTCCCATGAACGAGCTGTGTCCAGTCTGTGTTTACATCCCTCCAATCACTCTTCATCTCCATCCAGACTCAAACTGACCTTCCTTCTCCTCCTCTTCCTTACCAGAGGCTTCAGTGTGAACACAGCAGGACGGTCGCATGTCTTCAAGCCTGTATCTGTGCAGGCCATGTGGTGAGTGAAGTCTTCATGTTGACTGGGATTACTGTTGTATGTGTGTTTGTTGTGTATGGACAGGGAGGAAAATGCATTGTCCATGCTAGATAAATTATCTTAGACTCTTGTGTTAGGTAGAGCAAATAGTCCATTTGAGGCCTTGTACCTGTAAATCTAGTGTAAACACTTTTTTCTTAACAAACATACAAACAAAATGCCACCAATTATTTGTCATTCCAATCATATCAACATAAAAAAATACACACACAGCACAATGAGATGTCATATTATTGTTTGGAACTACTATCTGTCACATGTGAATAAGAGGGTTAGAAACGAACTAGGGAAATCTGTAACTCAATTAAACTGTTGCATCTCACAAATCTACTAAATTAAAATGTATTTAAAATATTCAAAATGTTAATTTTCTTAGTTATATAAACTATAGAACATTTGGTTAGAATTGTCCACTGTGATCATCACTGTAATGACGTTCCTGGTCTGTTTTGGCCTCTCTTCGCTACTGTCACCACTTCTGATAGTCTTGCTCTATCCACACGCCACCTGCTGGTAACTTATCAGAATTACCAATAAACAAGTCTATCTTTTTTTTTTTTTTTAAAGTAAGTTTCTTAGTGGCCCTGCTCCTTTCAGCATGCATCCATCTTTTCGATAGGGATGGGAATGGAGAACTGGTCCCAAATTTTTTGATCCATCAGAATTCCTTTTATCAATGCCAGCAGGTTTTTGTGCATTGCAAAACAATGACGTCAAGCTCATGTGTCTGCGCTGCTGGAAGATTGCAACAAGAAGTAGTCATGGTTGACAGGGCGAAACGGCCCTAAGTGGGGCCTCATTTCACTAAGAAACTCAAACTAGTTCTCTTTTTCTACACTGTGTTCAGACTCAAAGATAATAAAACAGTTGTGTTGACGCAGAAAACCTGTATAGGCCTACTTTTTTCCCACACTGAAATCAGGAATCAATAAGGGAATGGACAAAGAATTGGACTGATGAGCAGAATCGATAACGGTATTGCTATCAATAAAATCCCTACTATTCGATGGTAAAGGCTTCGCTCTGTGCCTTTGCAGGTCTGCCCTGCAGGTCCTCCACAAGGCATGCGAGGTGTCACGCCGGTTCAACTACTTCCCAGGGGGCATTGCTCTCACGTGGATGGCCTTCTATGAGAGCTGCATCACCTCAGAGCAGAGCTGCATCAATGAGTGGAACACTATGACCAACCTGGAGACCACCCGGCCTGACTCACCCACTATGTTTGTCGACAGGTGAGACGCTCCAGACTGCTTCCTGTGACCTAACAGTTTTAGTTATGAGGTGAAGTTTAGCATGTAGGAAAATCCAGGCTGCAGTGTATTGAGTCATTCACAATACACCTACGCCTGATGTTATTATCCTGTATGCCCAAAGAGGGTTTCAAACAATGTCAGCCTCACGTGGCCAAACAGACCAATTGCTGCGGAGTTCCAACATTCCTGGTGTGTGTACGTCCTCAGTCATGGAAAAGTTTTCAATGTTTTGGACACCAGCTGTTCTCCTTTTGTCGCTGTCCTTTGTTTTCAGCTGTGGAAACGTGTTACAGTGTTATGCTAATTTTCATTCAGACAGCAGCACTGATGTATTGACTCATTATGTGCAGGCCAACAGAACGAGAGAGAACAGAGTGTCTCATCAGAGCCAAGCTACGCAACATCATGACGTTTCAAGACCTGGAGAACATCACCTCGAAAGAGGTATGTGCCAAATCAACACCTCAACCAAAACTTAGAATCCTGTAAGACTATTTTCTTCTTTAGTTTTTTATGTAGAAATCTTGACTACAGTGTTTGTAAAAGAGTGGTTTTTGAGGTAGTTTGGCACATAAGTATATCATGGAAGTCACCATTGTATCTTGCATAGATTAATAAAGAATTAATAAAATGTCCAAATTTACCACCACGCACTGGAATCACTTTACTGTGTTTTATTACAACCACAGTATTAATATTTAACTGGAAGTACACTGAAGTTTTGTTTAGTAAATAGAATCAGGGAGTAGAGATTTGTTCTGCAATAAAGCTCCAATGTGTTGTAATTTTTGTTGTTGTTGTTAGAAAGTAAATAGTTAAATAAATAAATATGTGTTCTGTCCTCGTCCTCAGATCCGTAACGAGCTGGAGCAGAATATGAGCTGTAACCTCAAAGAGTACAAAGAGTTCATAGACAACGAGATGCTTCTGATCCTGGGTCAGATGGACAAGGCCACACTTATCTTTGACCACGTGTACTTGGTGAGAATGTTGTTCTTTTTTTTTACCTTGTTTTTAATATCATTTTATTTGTTTTTTATATCATACTTCTACAATAGTTTCTTCTTTTTCCTCCATGCTGACACACAAGTACTGTCTCCTCTGTGGTTTATACTTACCTCAGTAAAATACAGTTTACTTAACAGTAATTATTTAATTATGAATACGTTTCTGTTTTTTTGCCTCTGCAGGGCTCTGAGTGGAACGCTTCCAACCTGGAAGAACTACGTGACTGCGGGTGAGCAGATATGCACATACCATGTTTTCCTAACTTAAACCTAAATGTTTTATTCTTACACAGAACTAAATACAAGATGTACTGTACATGTATATTGTTACCTGAAAGCTGACTACTTATATGTAAATAAGGTATATTTATCTGCCCTATATTAGCATATCGACATACATGTTTTAGTTTAAAAAGCAAAACGCACTGTGTGCAGGAGTATCCTGCATTGAAAAGTGAGATATGCAATGTGTCAATGACATGTGTACCACAGTGTGTTGTGGTTGATCTACATACTGTGATAGCACCCAATAAATTGAATAAAGCAATATTTCAATCTTGCATCTCAAGCTTTGGCAAGAGAAGAATACAATTATATCAAGTTAACCTGTTAAAAACGCACGCACATGTCTCTGTATGGCTTTCAGTCTGTAATTTAATCAGTGCAGCAGTGTTGGTAGATATTTAGTCTGATTCTCCATGTGAAACAGATTTATTTTTATATGTGTTGAGTAACAGTTAAACTAATAATCAGCCGAGCAAAGAATATCATGTTGTTGTTATTGTTTTGCAGAGTGGGTTACATCCTGAATGTTACCAGAGAGATTGACAACTTCTTCCCAGGGATGTTCTCCTATCACAATATCCGCGTGTACGATGAGGAGGCCACCGACCTGCTGGCCCACTGGAACGACACCTACAACTTCATTGTCAAAGCCAAGTAAGACCCTACATGTACAAATAAACCAGTGAGCTGGAGCTTTTTAGGTGGGGGGGTGGGTGGCTGTGGCTGTAATGCAGGAGTTGAGGGATAAATTATACACTGTAACACCAAGCTGTTATCCAAGAAACAGCAGTCAACAGAACTGCTGTCCCACAACACTTTGGTATTAATAGACATTGGCATTTTTAGTCATCATTCCTCAGTCATCAAAGCTTGAATGGCTCACATCAAGCATTCTCCCAGAGTACTGGGGCCGTGATCACACAGGACACATTTTTCTCCCACCCAAAGGCAAGACGCAGCTGTGAGTTGTGCCAGTAACACGGGGAGAGAGAACTGAAATGGTGCAATCAGACCGGTTGCTATGCAACTGTCTAAGCATGCTAACCTAAGTAAAATAAAAATGGAAGTTAAGACATGTAGAGGTCATAGCAGAAACCTGAAACTAGCACCAACTAGGTCCATACGATTGGATGTAAATGATTTTTCCTCTGTCTGATAGGAAGAACAGTTCCAAGTGCCTGGTGCACTGTAAGATGGGGGTGAGCCGGTCTGCCTCTACAGTTATTGCCTATGCAATGAAGGAGTATGGCTGGTCTCTGGAGAAAGCCTACAACTTTGTCAAGCAGAAACGGAGTATAGCTCAGCCAAACGCTGCTTTCATGAGACAGCTGACAGAATACGAGGGGATCCTGGATGCAAGGTAAGCAGGCTCTAGTTTCACTCAGGTTTGCACTTTGCTCAGCTACCTGCAGTCACACTTACAGCCACGAGGTTTCATTTTGGGGCCTGATACTAATTACACATACTGCTGGCATTAAAATTGCAATGGTGCTTTGTGAAGCTTTCTGTGTCTCTTTGTGTTCTCTGTCTGCCACTTGTAAACAAAAGTCCACTTTGCCTTCACAGTAAACATCGCCACAACAAGCTATGGAGGCCTGAGGCAGATGAGGAGGGATCAGACGATTTGCAAGCCTCTGGCCACAGTACTGGTGGGGAGGAGACACCAGTGCTCAGAGAGGAGGAGGCCTGGGGAGGCTGCGGGGCGTCTCCCTGCAGGGGTATGGGTCTAGAGATGGAGCCCCTTGACTCTCTTAACTATAATTATTACTTCAGACGTTTGTCAGACTCTGCACTAGACAGCGAGCCCTCCACCCCAGTAAGGGGTCCCCCTCTGCTGGGTATGGAAAGGGTTTTCATTGAGATTGAAGACGTGGAGAGGGATGCCCTACTGGAGGACGAGGGTTTCCCCATGGCCCATTTAGCCCTGCCTGGCGAGGGCACGGCAGCTCAGACGTGTGGGCGCCTTGACCCCCTGGAGGACATGAGACTGAGGCTCGAGTTCAGCACTTTGGAGGAAGAGGATGAGGAGGAGGCCAAGAAAGAGGAAGCTGAGATGGCGGCGCTGGCTCAAACACCTGGAAATTCAGATGGGAAGAAGGCCGGGGAGGAAGGCGAGAGGACGGAGGAAAGCCGGTTAGGCCTAGCCAACCTGAACACCAACAACAGCAACCGCTTAGCTGCCAAGCGCAGCTGCCCTGCAGCTTTTGACGTGAGTTGGGAAAATATGGCTTTTAACTGTGGTTTTTAACTTTTTATCCATGTGAACATTTTAAAATATCATGTCAAAAGCATATGTACTGTTAACTTAGCATTTTACATATACTGCATGCTACTGACCATATACTGTGTTCTGTTCCAATGTTACTCCATTTAGGACAGTGCTAGCACAGGAAACCCTTTAAAAGTGAAGCCTTCCTATCAGTCCTGTAAAGACTGCCTGCGTCTACCACAAGGGCGGCGCTGTGACCGTCCAGCAGGAGGCCGTTCTCACCGCCTCAACCCTTCCCGCCACTGCACTGTCCCCACCATATGCATAGATCCGCCCGGGACAAATTTTGCCACTACGGCAGTTCTGCAATCGCTGCAGGCCCCTGCAGTTGTCCCTCTTAACTTGGTCCAGCCCTGTAGTCCTCTGTACCGCTGCGCCACATGCGGCCCTGGTGTCCCAGCTGTCCCACTAACCACCCGCCAGAAACTGGTCTCACCCATGAGCTGTGAGGAGACACCTACTGACCGCAGCTCAGTGGAGACGGAGGACATGGACGAACCACAGGGGGACGACGTTGGAGAACATATATCACGGGAGGGGGCAGGGGCCATCGCTGCAGCCACTGCTGAAGGTTTAAAATTACAACCCGGTGGAGCAGTGGAGCTCCAGCTGCAAATGCCAGGACTGGGGATAGAATTTGGTCTGGAACTAATGCGACAGAGGGCAGAGCGGCTTGAGAAGCTGCCAAGTTTGGCCATGGAGGGCCAGCTCCCTGTTGGGCCCCTGCCTTAGTACAGTGGCCCTAGCATGGATGAGATGGAGGAGGAGGCTTACCACTGCCTCCACCAGGTACACTATGATGGCTGTGGGCCTTTAGATGACTGTGGTGTCCTACCAGAAACGAAGCTCTGCTTTGACCTGTACTGTCATGTCCTGGCCTCATAGCTGCACTGTAACAAGCTGCAACAGCAGCTCTCGTCCTATCATCGTCTACTGGCATTAAGATCCAGATGAGGCTGTTTTGACCACATGCTAAAGGCTTGAATGCTTCTGACCAGATAAGGACTGAAGACTGTCCAGTGTCCCCCCCACTTGTCCCTCAGACCTGTCGGTCGGGTCTCTTCTGAGCCTGCCAGCCACACACCACATACTGGATCACTGCTCTTCCCCACAGCTCGGTGGCGATGAGTGTTATGCTGACATTTTACCCGCAACAGACAGGTTTGGCATATTCCTAAGACAGGAGACGGTGGTGGTTTCTAACTTTTGAGAAAGCTATAGCTAGCTCTTTGATATTGATGGAAAGAAAAAATAAACCCGCTTCTGTCAGTGTACTGTATGTTTCTCAATCCAACTCATCAACAGTATTCATGAAGGAGCTCAATGAATGTTTGCAGTTGAGCCTGTTTGATTGCATTCAGTATCTCCTCATGTTACCGCTGATGACTGAATCCTCACTCATACCTTCACTTATATTTTCCCTGCTGCAGCTGCTTTTGCATCGCCAGAGGGCATTTCACGTGAAAGCATAATAATTTTTTAAAAGGATGTGAGCATATGTGAGCCTTTTTATGCCTCTTTGTAAAGCATCGTACCTCAGACCACAAGCATCTCGGGACTGTTTTGGTCAAAGACTGTTTTGTTGTCTGCTCAGTGGCTGGTTCACCCCGACCTCCTCCATTAATGCAATCATGTACTTAAAGCGCTCACTTTAACCCACGCATGACTTTGCAGTATTAGGCAACATATCCTCCACATGCTTAAACAGAAAACATTCTACATGAGTTTTGAAAAACTGAAAAAGCTTTCAAATTTGTCAGTTTAAGTGACAACAAAAGACAAAATCGTTCATCAGGTGGATGATAAATTGATTGAATTGAACGTAACCCCTCGTCTCTTACTTAAAAGAATGACAAAGAAAAGAAAAAAAAACACTTTCAGTTGCTGGAAGACATTACATTCGTTCATTAAGATGTTAAGGAATATTCATAAGCCTAAATGTAAATTTATTTTTGATTCCTGATGTAACCAAAGCCATATCATGTTGCCAGGGCCAGTTAATCACCTTCATGATTTTAGACGGCAAAGAAGCTCAGAACAGTTCCCTTTGATATACTGTACATACTTTACTATACTGATCTTACCCAGCCTGCATCTGGGTAGTCATTTATCGTAGAGGCTCCCGTGGTAAATGTGGCTGACTCGGTTAACTTTTTTGGACACACGTTGAAAAAAAAAAAAACATAGGCTACCTTTCCCTAAACACACAAACATTTGCAAAGGCACACTAATCATGTATGAATTTAGCACTTGAGCACAACTCTAGTATCCATTTACACAGACATATTTCAGTAGCTATGTTTAATCAAATTAATTTGAGAACACTAAAGAAGAAAAAATGATGAATGAAATCTGCGGTAAGCTTCAAAGAAGTAGTCAACTGACCAAATAATTTAATAATAATAGTTTATTTGATCTAATAATGACGGTTGCAGTCAACAGCAGATGCTGCTGTAAAATGTTTTGATAATTTACAGTTTATGTGAAATAAAACTCCAGGTGTTATTATTCTTTCAAATGACCATATTAAATATTTCTATTTACAGTGTCAAAATAAGAAATTCTATTCCCAATTTCTAATACTAGATACCCTTTGTTTAAATATAGAATAAGTATCCTATCAAGAAAAACTCAGCTCTTATCCCAACAAACTTTTTTTATTTGTTTTTTAGACTTTTCATTTCGTACATGTTCAGAGAGCTTGAGGCATGTTTTGTTCAAATTGTGCCACCAATCCAAAGTTGCTGTGCCCCAAGGTGTCACTCTGCAAGTTCTTCTGTTTGGTTGATGTTGTGTTCTTACTGTTTTTGGCACGCTGGGTGTGCTAGAATGGTACTGAATGATGCCTGTTTGTATGCAGGAAAAGCACATGCAAATGTTATTATTGTGTTGAACGATCTGAGTGCTTCAGAAGAAATGAAAAACTGTGCAAGGAATGAATGCAAATTATTTAATCATCTTGAACCATGAGGTTATTGTAGATTTTTTTGTAGATTTTGCTTTTCTTTAGTTAGATCAGTAGAAACAAGCAAACAAAAAACAATGCATCCTCTGTTCCTCCTCCTCCTTCCTTAACTGGACCCCGGAGAGTTGCAGGTTTGCTCCACTAGTTAGATTTAAATAATTTGGTTTTGCTTTTAACCTGTTCTTCCCCTCACATGGCCACATGGAGCATAATGTAACATAAGGCACTTACACAAGCATCTGATACTGCACACATTCAATGTAGAAGCAGTTCAAAGTGAAAAAGGTACAATTATTATAAAGTTGTTATTAATAATAAACTTTGCAGCTCTAAGAATTAAGAACTGTTACAAAGTAGCAAGCTAGCTAAAGGCTGTGAAAGACAGATTTAAGTAATAGTTTAAACTTTGGGAAATATACATATGCTTTGTTGCGGAGAGTGAGAAGATCTCAGTTGAGTTAACTTAACTCAGCAGACTAGAAACTGAGAAACAGCTGGTTTGGCTCTTTCCAAAAAGTAACAAAATCCCCCTACCAGCCCCTCTAAATCTCTTTCTATAACTATTAACACTTTATATCTTATTTGTTTGATTTGCATTTGGTGAACAGGGATCCAAAAAACTAAATTTTTAACTGTGATCATTAGAGGTGCTATTAGGCGGACTTCCTTTCACCTTCAGACATGGCTAGCTGTCTTTATACTAGTCTTTATGCTACGCTAAGCTTAATGTCTGCTGGCTGTAGCTTCATATTTACTGACAGACATGAGAAGTGGTATCGATCTTGTAATCTAACTCTCAGCAAGGAAGCAAATAAGCGTATTTCCCAAAAGTGTTGAACTCTTCCTTTAATATTTTATTAATATGACTCCAACTCAAGCCAGTTGTTCTCAGTATGATCTCATGGGCCTCGGTGTGTGATGTTACAAGCACTAAATCCTTCTATTTGTGTTCCCAGACCATAGCACGACGTTCGGTTGTTTTCTTCATTGTTTTGAATTAGTTCTTGTATTTAAGTGCCTTAACCTTGGCCTTAGCTCTATCATAAAGCATCACAGGCATTGCAAAGTTTCTGTGAGTGTTGATGGTCTGGTGTTTTTTGTACATTACTCACCCTCTCTCCCAATAATAACCATGCTCCTTGCAATGTATAACTCTGCACATAATATAATGTATGCAAACACACACACACACAAGCTCATGCACAGCAGCCTCCTCCACCCCAATACACACATACTTGATGGACTTCCATTTATTAATAGCCTATAATAATATTGTATTTGTTTGATATTGTTGAAACTTGTGGTACACTGTATTGGTTCAATAGCTGGCTGAAGAACCTTACCTGCTGGAATGAGAACTATCATTTACATTAAAACATTAGATAGGATTAATTTAAGTCTTTGAAAATTTACCAGTCTGTATATATTTTTCTCTACAATTTGCTATCGAGTACATTAGCTTGCAAATGTGGCCAATATTAAGAAAAGAACTGATAATGCTACTGTGTATTGAGAAGTACTCATAATTAAGTTCTCGTGTTTGTACCACAGCAAAAAAAATGACTTTGGGCCGCATCTCTAATTTAGGCAAATGTCTTCGGGCTCTATTAAAAAATGGCAATGACTGAATTTTTTTATTGCATTATTCCCAGGCAGCAGGCATCAAACTGACAATCCTACTTTAGAGCCAGACATTGAGACTTTGCGAGAAAGGATATTAAGACATATTGTAAGTTAAAAGGGGGATCCAGGCATTTATAGAGTGTATTCATAGAGCACAAGTCTGCCCCAAAGCATGCAAGGTTGAGACAAGTGGAAAAATGTAGAACATGAAAAACATACCTGGGAGTAAGATTTTGTTACGTTCATTGTTTTTTTGTTAACTTTTGTGTACTGTACTGTACATTGCCAATGTTCATGTGTAATGCACTTTTTTTTACATTTTGTTAAGATGATGTCCAGTCTAATGTTTATCATGGAAATAAACCATTTCCGCTGCATAATCTGTTTATTCAGTTAAGTCGTTGCGGTGGCATCCAGCTCTGCAATTATCACACACTGTTTTCATTGTATTAACACATTTTCACACATTAAGATTCCCTGTTAAATCTTTACTGTGTCTGAAAAAAACTGTACTTTTTAAACAAACCTTTATTGCAATGTACTGCATACCTTTGATCACCACTTGCTCTTTTAGTCAAATGGACAGGGCAGGGAGCACTCTTATTGAGTTAGTCAAATGAAGTCAGTCTGACATCATGGGGCAGGTGACAGCTGAAGGAGAAGATCTCCCAGAAAGACCAAAGTCCAACAGGACGACAGGCAGGCAGAGCGTCAGTTTTAAACATCAGCCTCGGTAAGTATCTATCTTTATATCTGTGATAATGTTATGATTTTATACAGTTTATTAGATCACTTCCAAAACTGCAGACAATGAAGTCATTTGAGGGGATGTATCAATAAGAATAGTACTGATTGTAATGGTAAATGCTACATTAACAACAGGAAGAGAAGTTAAGTGTTAAATACACAGCTTAAAGTTACCAGTTTCTACCTCAATAACAAGATTTTTTCGCTTATGGTGTCCAAAAGTGCCATACCTGTATTGTATAAGATGATACTTTACACTCCTGTGGTTATGTATGTTAAACTACGTTTTTCAAGCCACAGAAATAGCTCATTATATGCTGGTACATTGCAAAAATCCAGTGTGCCACCTTAAAGTAGCAGCACATTTATCTTTTCATAACCCCAAGTCCTGCCTTACAGAATGCTGGGAAAATTTTACTGTCAAACTAGATCATGTGTCAGGATATCATCCCGTCGCATTTGAATTTGAGCTTATTACATGTCATACACATAATGTGCTAAAGGAAAGGCGCAGTATTCTTCTGATGGGGGAAAAACAAAACCTATTCTGGGACTGAGCTAATAGTTTGTGTACTCAAAGTCACAAGTCTCTTATAAACTGTGTGCTTGATATTGGAAGCATGAGAGACACAAGAATGGGAAATGGAAAGAGAGATATGAGGGAGGGAGTTTCACAAGCCGATGTCACAGATGCCTCCCACTGTTGCCATCATAACACATCCATCCCAAAATAACACTTCAGACACACCAAACCTGCAAGCACACTCATCGGTCAAGTTGCTGGATTGTTGGGAGTACGTTATACCAGAAAACCAGAGCTACAGTTTAACAATGTCAGCCGGTTAAAGATGAAAGATGTAATTAAACTAAAGGAACCACATGAGGGACAGAGTAGTGCCAGGACGCACCAGGTACTGCTGATGTGTAAAGCAGGAGACAGCTGCATATCACTACAAGTCAAACACAGGAAATGTGAAAGAAAAGGGCTTTCCGCGAATCAAAACTCAACTCTGGACCAACTTAAAACCTCTTGATATTTATTAAAAGCTTTTCTGCTCATTCTAATGTGGTGTAGAGCAGTTTTTTCCAACCTTTTTTGTCAAAGGTACCCCCAAAGCCCTGTCAGATGGACTCAAGTACTTCATTGACACCACCTTACTGTGTATTTCAGCAGTTTATCCAGTAACTACTTTGTGCTAACTACTATAACTATTACAACTGTTTATATAAGTTTATATATATTTTCTTCTTTAACAATTTTTTTTCCAATAGCTATTTCAACCATTTATCACTCACTTTTAGTCAACCATCTATTAAGCTCTCTGCTTGTTTGCTAGTTTTCATGCATTCCCATTCTTGGTGTTCAGATGTTACAGCTGGCTCAATATGTGGATATATTTTAATATTCAAAATGTATTTTCTATTTTCTCAAATTAATTGAGCTACTCCACATTCTTTCCATTTTTTTCCCATTTTATTCCGGGGTTGGGAATCACTGGTGTAGAGCACAAGAACCATAATTTATAGATAAACAGGAGCCACGCTTCAAGGGGAATAGTTTAATTTACGTTCCACGGACACACGTGTTGGTTAAATAGACAGGCTTGAACAAAACAGAGTGTCACTCAACACCTCTCAGGCTTGAAATAGCTTAAGCAGCAGAGCGCATGATTGCAGATGCAGGGTGAAGAGGTTCACTCACCTCTCTTTCCTCACTCACCTTAGAGAGTATTAGCTTAGCATTCCTTCTGATACGTCAGGACGAACTTCAGTGTGTGCTCCTGCAAAACATACGTGGTGTATATTCGTGCATGTGTAGTTATTTGTTTGCGTGCTAAAAATACTCATTCCACAATTTTCACATGCCACTTTAAAGTCCGTTGAGCTGTTTTCCCTTTGTAATAATCTCTCTTCCACCATCCATCATGTCGGTTGTTAAAATCTGTCCTCATCCAGCCCCCGGACAAACAATTCAGTTCAGTCAAAGCACTTGTGACTCGAATCACGTATTCCAGGTGACCTTTCTGTAAACCCCTGTAACCAAAACAACCATAAACATTCATATAGTTTGAAGGGAGAGAGAGACACACACACCACAAACACGCCTTGTCTCCGAACCAGTAATTGACAGTGCATGATGCCTCACAATGTGCTGGCTCTGAAGGGACATGTTTATAGAATTAGTTATTAGACTCACAATTAATATAAAAGCAAGGCTTTGATGTAATTCAAGACTCATTAGTTTTACAGAGCATCTAAATGATTTTAAATGATTTATAGTTCATGTATTTGGCCGCATTTATTAGATCAAATATTTTGTATTATTTGACCTTGGCACCTGGCAGCTGACCTCTTATCTCACTTGTCTTGTTTCCTTTTTGGCCTCCTGACTCACTGGCAGCAGTCAGACCAGCTTTAATTATAGCCGCCACAGCATTCCTTCCCGACAGAATAGGGAGAGATAGATAGAGAAACCTTGGGGGGTGGGCAAATGTGAGCAGTATAGAAGAATATACAAAAATAGAGAAAGATTCAGGAGAGTTAAAAATAGACAGCAATGCCTGTTGTGTGATTTCATTTCATTAGGATGAGGAGGCAAGGCCATCCTCATTGCGCCATTGTGTGTTACTTATAAATCCACTGCTGTCTTGACATTTGTCTCTCTCAGACAGAACAACAGTCATGGGCCAGAAGCTGGAGAAGCTGTCAGAAAAGGATGAAGAGTCATTTGATAATTCAGATTGGTCTGAGCAAACTGCAGAGACAGGACCGTCGGAGACAGCAGAACAAGATGAGAGCAGAGATCAGGACGATGGCAGTTTTGCGACCCCTCAGAGTGTTGGTCGGATTAGTGGGATCAGTGTCAGCGGCCAGGCCACTGTGCGTGCGGGGGAGCTCACAGTCACTTCGGCACGTACAGACCCCCAAACTGGGCAGCCAATCAGGCCTCTAGGTCAGCGGGAGCACCCTCTGAACACCAGGGGAGAGTGGGTGGGTGGAGACAGGGAGAGCCGGAGTCTGACTCGGACTGCAGAGGAGTCAAAAACTGTCCTGAGCCCTAAGGAGACAAGACAAACTTTAAACAAAAAGCGAGGCTCTGAGAGCAAGGCTGTGGCCTCTACTGGGACTACAGCCATGGAGGAGCAGGGAAATGGGAAGAAGTCAGAACTCGGGCAAAACAAGTCGAGTCCTAGCACCCAAGCCAGGAGTTTAACAGCCTCATGCGACCCCACTAACGAGGAAGACTTTGTGGTGCTCGAGGAGGATGAGACTTGGATGTCATCAGATGGGAAAAATAACATCCCTTTTGACAACAGGATAAAATCAGATAATCTTCAAAGAAGAGTTGAGGAAAACACTTCTGCTAGCTACAGCGACAATTACCTTCTACAACCTTCCAGGAATGCCCCTCAAGAAAAGCCTATTGAGAAAACAAGCAGAAGAAAGTCTGACACACATTCAATCACGACTGACGGCGTGGAAGCAGATAGGAAGAGTTCACCCACGGCTTGCTCTGAGAGTGTAATGGGTCAACCTTTGGCTGAAGTGACAGGCAGCAGGTGTCGGCTAAAAGGAGTCAGTCGTGTTGGAGCTGCCTACACTGAGACAACTGGGAGAGGAAAAGCAGACATGCAAAATGTGGATGAACACAGCAAGGGGCCAGTTTCTACTGACATTAATAAGGAGCACCTGTCAAAACAAATCAACAGGGGATCGGGGAAAAGATTAAGAAAGACCACCGAAGACACGGTTGATGAGCCGGGTGGGAATTGGGAATGCTTGGAAAAGGCAGATTGTTCTTTAAGAGAATTGGAAAATCATGATAAGGAAAGCCACAAATCAGGATTTAGTGCAGAGAAAGCACAAGTGGGAGCGGATCAGTCCCATCAGAGCAGGTTTGCCGGTGCTGTCTCTAAAAGGGCTAAAGCGGGTACTCTTAGTTTGTGCACCAAAAAAGAGGACAGCCAACTGTTCTGCAAAGCGTCCGACTCTCCAAAGCCTCCTAGCTCTGAAATACTGCACGACAATCCCTCATTTTCATTGGAACAATGCGATTTAATCCCTTGTCCTCCCCTGCTAGGGAATGAAGGCAGTGACGGAGAGATACAGGTTGCGAGCTTAAAGAGAGAGAGCGAGCTTGTGTGTTTCTCTGCTGTCATCACCCCTCCACCTGTAACTCATCGTTTGCCTAAGAGAGACACATCAATGGCAACACAACTCGATACAAGCATGGTCAATTCAGAGATGGCGCCAGACGCGATGCCTGACTCGTGTGATTCTAAAGACGAGTCTGCGCCAAAAGAAAAGCCCAAAGTTAAAGGTCCACCTCCGCCTGTCCCCAAAAAACCTAAAAACCCATTCATAAAGCTCAAAACTGCACAATTAATGTCTACCGATGTGCAAAGGAGAGGCAAAGATCATCTGCGTTCTGAGGAGAGGGTCAAGAGGAGACATACTTTTCATTTTAACAAAGATCTTCCATGCAACGCTCCAACTAATCAGGACATGTGCTTGCTGTGGGACGAAAGGGGCACTTACACAGTGCCAACTAACAAACGGCCGCTGTCAGTTGACCTCACCCCTTGGGAACATCTTTCGCTTGGACACATGGACGATCG